TAGAAACTGCATAGCAGCACTCTAACAATCACCAAGTACACTTCAGAAGCATAGCAATGCTCTAGCAACAACTCAGAACACACAAGCAATCAAATACCAACATACGAACAACCAAAAAAACACCCTAGCAACACACTAAAAATCACCAAGTACACTTTAGAATCATAGCAACAGCCCTGCCAACCACTTAGAACATCTTAGCAACTGCATAGCAACTCAGTACAAAAGTACACTTTAATAGCATAGCAACGCCCTGGCAACCACCCAAAACACCCTAGCAACTGCATAAGAACTGACTTAGTACTAAAGCACACTTTTGTAACATAGCAACGTCCTGGCAACCACCCAGAACAGCCTAGCAACCAAATATCAACATATACACAACCAGCAAAATATTAAAAAAAATATTAACAATCACTTAGTACACTTTAGAATCATGGCAACGGCCCTGCCAAGTACTCAGAACACCCTAACAACTGAATAGCAACTGACATAGTACTTAAACACGCTTTAGTAGCATAGCAACACCCTGGCAACCACCCAGAGCACCCAATCAACCAAATTGAAACACACAAACAACTATTCAAAACACCCTAGCAACTGCAAAGCAACATAAAATCACTAAACACACTTTAGTAGCATAGCAACGCCCTAGCAACCCCCCAGAACACCCTAGCAACTGACTTAGTACTAAAATACACTTTAGTACAATTATACCACCCTGGCAACCACCCAAAACACTCTTGAAACTCGCCTGTGAAATTTTCACAGCCAAGCACCACTCATTTTCTTGAAGGAAATGTAAAAATGTACCATCTGTTCACACATACAAGCACACATTGCTCTCCTTCTCTTTACTAAGATATAATTTTTTTTTCCTAAATCACAAAATAAATGGCTATGTTTTGAAGCAGTCATATTTCAGCTGCCGACGGATATTCTGTAAACGACCACTGAAAACAACAGGAAGAACAGACTGCTTGGAGAGGGAGAGGAGGAGGCGCAGGGTTAGGGAAGAGTACTGTAAATGTTCAAACAGCAGGGCTCCATTCCAAACACCTCTGCAGTACCACGGGCACCAAGGCCCAGAGTCAGGCAGACCATTTGAAGTTCTGCAGAAGAAAACTTTTAAAAACATGGACTTTACTTCTTCCTTCTCTTCCTCTCCACACTGCTGAACCGTTAGGGAGGTCTCCAGCACAGACCGATTGATAAATCACTCGTGTTGCGTTGGACTGTTTTTTTTTTCTACACTCAGCCTCATGCTGAAGGCTTTACAGTAGACCATTACAGATGAGCTACTGCTGCCACAGTCTCCTTCTGTCCAACAGCTCAGATGGTTTCTGCTGGTACATTTCAAACCATCGTCATCTAGCTCTCCTGATCTCCAGGTTATTATCGTTTTGCTGGAGGCTGCCGAAATCGCACAGCCTGCACATGAATTATTAAAAGATTATGAAACACAAAAAGAACAGTGTTAAAGGGAATCCCAGCTCGAGATTACGGTTTTGCTGCTCTCACGTTGATGAAAGTAAAATTGATCGCTGTTGATTTAGAGAACGCAGTCATAAAACATTCATATCAGACGTTTACTGCACATCTTATTTCAGAATTAATAGCAATATGCACCTGACTCAACATATAAGTGCTTTTGTAAAACTAATCCATGTGTTTGTACAGAACATTCAGATTAATATGGAAGCCCGTTTCCGCCACTGAATAAAAAAACAAAAAAAGGTAATAGTGACTTTTCTGACCTCGCAATTGTGAGTTTACATTTCACAATTTTTTTCTCAGAATTGCATGATATAAACTTGCAATTCTGAAATTTTTTTCTCAGAATTGTGAGATAAAACTCACAATTGCGAGTTATAAACTCAGAATTGCAAGAACTTGCAGTTGCGAGAAATAAAGTCAGAACTGCGAAACATAAACTTGCAATTGTTATACAGTTATAAAGTCCAATTCTGAGAAAAAATATTATTTTCTTACAATTGTAAGTTTATATCTAATAATTGTGACTTTATCACTCGTAATTGCATGTTATAGAGTCAGAATTGTGAGATAACAATTTGCAATCGCCTTTTTATTCAGTGGCGGAAACAGGCTTCCATAGATTAAAGAAACAAAAAAATTATGTATTTACCTTCATGTCGTTCCAAACCCATATGACTGACTTTCTTCTGTTGAACACAAAAAAAGATGTTTAGCAGAATGTTCATGCTGCTCATTTCCAATGAAATTGAATGTCAATGGATGCTATCAAGCTTCAAAAATGACAAAAAATAATAACATGAGGGTGAGTACATGATGACAATGGTTAACAATCCCTTTAACGTTTTGCTTTAACATTGGCTGAGGTTGAATGTTGATTAGTTGATCAGTTTGCAGTTTAATTGACCAAAATCCTGAAAATGTCAATTTTTTGTCTTAACTCCATGAAACAACTCACATCTTTTCTTTTCCTATTCTAGTGTTAATGTGTGTAGAGAAATAGCTTATAAACTCCATTAAGTTCCTGGTGTTGCATGACTTAATCAGCATAGATGTTTGGCATTAAGTTCGATTGTTTGATTCATTAGCCAAAAACTGCTTTATGGAAAAGTATTATTTATCACAGCTTTTTAATTAGAAAATTGTCAGCTTTTATCAAAAGCCAGAAAGAAATCTAGGTTTGAAAGAACTATTTAATTAACATGGTCAAGTTCAGAGAGTTTAGCGAGAACTAACAAGACCAAATCTTACATCAAAAAAGAAAACCCTCCCAAGGGCACTAATTTGTAGATAAGTGTCTATTTGCCGGTTACAAGTCCGAGGCCGTGATTCAAGGTCAGCCCAACATTGAGAGCGTTATAACAGTCTCCGCTGCATTATTTTTATGCAAAACATCATCCTACCATGTGCGCTGATATTTTACTTATTAATCTCTGAAATAAAAACAAGCCAATGTGATTCAAGTTGCATTGTTCATTGGCACACACGCTGAGAGATCTCAAGGCCAAAGAAATTCGAGCCCTGGGTGATTTGTGCTGAAGTGACCTTCTATTTCTATGGCTCTATCTTTCATTCATTCCATCTCTCTTTTATGTCTCTCTCCATCTACTCACACACGAAAATACAACCATAGTGCAGGATGGTAATCATGTTACCTATAGGGATGACATGTCAAGAAGATATTTAAAGGGACAGTTTACCCAGAAATTAAAAGATGTGTTTCTTCATCAGAACAGATTTGGAGAAATTCAGCATTACATCACTTGCTCACCAATGGATCCTCTGCAGTGAATGGGTGCCGTCAGAATGAGTGTCCAAACAGCTGATAAAAACATCACAATAATACACACCAATCCAGTCCATCAATTAATGTATTTTAACAGCACCCATTCACTGCAGAGGATCCATTGGTGAGCAAATGATGTAATGCTAAAGATCTCCATATCTGTGCTGCTGAAGAAACAAACTCATCTACATCTTGGCCTGAGGGTAAATTTCCAGCAAATTCTTATTTTTGGGTGAACTATTTCTTTACAAAAGTAGTTATTTCAACTTGTACATTACATTTCAAGTCACACCATAGCTTTATGAGAGGAACAGCCTGAAATTTCAGTCTAAAAATTTCAAACTTGACTAACAGCCATGATCGCCATTCACTTTCTTTTTAAGGAAAAGAACACCTTGGACATTCTGTTATAAATAACTGCTTTTGTGTTCTGCGGGAAACCATACAGGAAATCATACAGGTTTCTAAAGACATGAGAATGAGTAAATGATGGCAGAACTAGTCCTTCAAGGCCAGTACAGAAAGATTGAATCATTGTGGATCCACAAGCAAACCAAAAAGTGTGTGTGTGTGTGTGTGTGTGTGTGTGTGTGTGTGTGTGTGTGTGTGTGTGTATGTAATAGACAGTGACAGGCCCGGAAAGAATATCTGCCCTAGATTCAGTGTTTTAGATGTTTTCTGTGTGATGTTTTATTAAAGTGAGGTTGGATATGCTGACAGAGACAAAATTGGATGCCCGACACTCCCTGAATCTCTCTCAGCCTGTGTTTCTCTCTCGCTCAAAGGTCAGTCTACCTTAAGTGCCGTACCTTTGACATATTCATATTTGATTCCAAAATAGCAGTTTATTTTGGATTTATAATCTGGTTCATTTATTAAACAACCAAGAAGGTTCTGTTCTTTAAATTCAGGTTATATTTTAAGGGGAAAAACAAATAAGTATGGATTTTAAACATGTATATATATATATGCTACATTTCTATTGGGGCATACTGTCACATACAATCTATATTTTTGTTATTTTATATCAAACAAAAAATATTCTCAAATCAGTTTTAAAAAGGAGGTTCCCATTGTGTCAACTTACCCCATGTAGTTTCACAAAATGCCCGAGTGCAGGGGACAAAGTTAAACGTACAAACTGAACTGTATCTATTTTTCCATGGGCAATAACAGTATAATTATTAAAAAACTTTGATGTAGCCGGAACTTACACAAAAAATATCTTCAAAAAAAAAACAACAATCACAAACCTACCCTTAGAAATATTCACCGTTGTAAGAAGCGCGACACATAGTCCCAGTTTTCCCCAGGTTATTTATATAATGTGGTTATTTTTGGTATTACGATTCATGCACATCTAACTATGACGTGTTTTGCACCTCTACCTGTGTCACGACTACTCGCTGTCATGTCTAGGTCTGTGATTAATAGGTGTTAAACAAGTGATTTATGAGACTACACAACTGTAATTGCATCACAGTACCGCCGATCACAACACGGGGGCGCTCGAGTCGTTCTAATGCAAACTGAATGAATGCACTTACGGCACTGGATGTCATGTGTAATTATAAAAATTATATATATATATATATATATATATATATGCCTAATCACATATGTGAGTTTTCCAATTTGCAAATAATAATAATAGTAATTTTATGAAATGTGTTTATTTACAAAACATATTAAATATCTGGTACCTGTGTGTTTTAGGTGCAAAACATGACACAATCAATCCAAGTATTGGACCAGCGGACACAGAGGGACCTGCAGTACGTGGTGAAGATGGAAGATCAACTCCGTGGCCTGGAGACCAAATTCAGACAGGTGGAGGAGAACCACAAACAAAACATCGCCAAGCAATACAAGGTAAACACACAATTAAATGCAAGCAGTGCATATTTCACATGAAAGCACACATCGCTCCACACTTTCATACACGAGCAAACTGCAGATTGCATGCACACTTGTGTGCTTGTGTGATTTTTGTGAAATGTGCAGACCTGTCTGATTCGATCCAAACAATTAGTCAACTTTTGGTCAAATGCAATATTTGCATTGTTGTGCAAAAATATAAACATTTATTTTTACACTTGCGACCAGAAAAATACAAAATTAAATATGATTGTATTATTATAATAAGATATAATAAAAAAGCAAAAAAATAAAGGATCTGCACAGTTCAGTTTTTCTATAATATAACAGTCAAAACATCCCATGAACCACACTATACTACCTGACACATGCATGAAATATAATTTTTGTTTGCACTTTGTAACACAAGTGGGAGTGTGCGAGTACATGAGATGTGCGTGTGTGACTGTGTTAGCTAGGTTAGCGAGTTAGCTCCCTGTGCTGAGTGTGTTGTTTCTTGCTTGCAGGGCTAACTATAAAGACATGATAGGAGAGCCAGAGGCCAGAAGAGGCAGGTCTAACCCACGATTGGCTGAAGTGGGCGCCAATCATGCTGTTTATGTCACGATTCTCATATTCTATTCGACATTAGCTGTAAGAAACACTCCTCCCCCCTCCCTTATCCAACCACCAATCAGATCTCCTCATGCATGCTCCTCTAAAGAATTGTTACGTTTTATTTATATGATCTACATTTTCTAGTTTCATTGCTATATTGCTATTATTACTACTACTACTACCATTATTATTCTCATCTTTGCTGGTATTGCTTAAGTTATTATTATTACTCTTATTATTTGTCACTATGAGTCTTTGGTTTTTGAAGTAATATGCGTTTTTGAAGTAAAGAATTTAATCTTAACATCACATTGTTGTATGTGAGTTGTAATTTCAGCATGTGTCCCTTTCTGCTGTTGCATTCTAAACGACAACTAATAAAGTCTTTTCCCAATTGTTTACCGTGTTCAGAGCGCTTGATTTCGTCGATAAATGTTTGTAGATATATCATTTCTATACGGATACGAGTAGTTTTACTGCAGCTTGGCCTCTGGTCTCTCACTGGCTCTACAAGCACACACACACAAACATAGACTCTTAAAAATAAACGTTTTTAATGGTTTATTGAAGCACTTCAGCAAAGAATCCTCTTCTTAAAAAACATTTCTCAGGGTTCTTGAGGTGCTATATTAAAATGTAAGTTTGTATAACAAAAGAAGTTCTTAAATATTGGCATCATTTGTTGTTAAAGTGGATTTTTAAGCATCTGTACATAAGTATGTGGACACCTTTTAGTTAAAGGATTTTCATCTACAATATCACTTGATGCATAAAAATCAAGACTACAACCAATATAGTCTCTTCGCCTTTTGAAAAAGTAGTACACTTCTGGCATACTTTTATAAAGAGCATGTATTATGGAAATAATACACTTTAGAAAATACTTAAGTACAAAGTGAATGTAATGTTTTTAGACATGTAATGTTTAGAGTAATTGCAATAATTTAATACTTTACGTGTGCTTTAGTATGTTTGTCAACAGATTGAAATCAGCATATTTCTTTAAAGCACAACAAAAGATTATTAAAACATAATGCCTTAAAATGTTCTTTGAAACTTTTAATTTGACATTATAAGAGTATAAGTACAGTTTTTAAAAATATAAACTAAGTAAAAATGTAAACTATAAGTGTACCTTCCATACAATTAATTTAAATAAACACAAAAAGCACATTTCTTTTTCACAAGGGCAAACAAGATTTTGTAGCAGAGTGGGGCCTTTTTTTTTTTCTCTACCGAGGTTCAGAAATATGATTTATCAAGCCGTCTGGTGGGGAAAAACCAGACAGACCTGCACAATATGATAACGTTGTTTATTATAAGTTTTGTCATCTGCCACTTTAAATGCTCTAGCTCTTTAAAGTCAGGTGAATTCTGATTGGTTGTCAATGTTTTTTATCATCCATCAGCTAGAAAAAATCATTCTGAAAGTGATTCCAACGACATAGTTCCTTTGTGCCATTATTATTATCAATGTGGTGTGCCTCTGCCATTCTTTTAAAACTAGAACAATATCTTTATCGTCATAGTTTTATCCTTGGTGTGAAGGGGTCTTAAAGGGATAGTTCACCCAAAAATGAAAATTCTGTCATTAATTACTCACCCTCATGTTGTTCCAAACCCGTAAGACCTCCGTTCATCTTCGGAACACAAATTAAGATATTTTTGATGCATTCTGACAGCTCTCTGACCCTCCCATAGACAGCAAGGGTACTACCACGATCAACGTTCAGAAACGTAGCAAGGAGATCGGTAAAATAATCCATGTGACATCAGGGGTTCAACCGTAATATTACGAAGCTACAAGAATACTTTTTGTGCGCAAAAGAAAAAAAAATAATGTGGTGCAGCTGACACAGAACAACATATGCTGTTTGCGTTCAGTGGATACTCTCCAAAATGGCGCTAGGGTGACACGGAGGAGACGAATTGTTGAATAAAGTCTTTTTTTTTCTTTGCGCACAAAAAGTATTCTCGTAGCTTCGTAATATTACGGTTGAGCCCCTGATGTCATATGGATTATTTTACCGATTGCTAAGGTTCTGGACGTTGATCGTGGTAGTACCCTTGCGGTCTATGGGAGGGTCAGAGAGCTGTCAGATTCCATCAAAAATATCTTAATTTGTGTTCCGAAGATGAACGGAGGTCTTACGGGTTTGGAACAACATGAGGGTGAGTAATTAATTACAGAATTTTCATTTTTGGGTGAACTATCCCTTTAACTCGTTGTAAATGTCAGTGGTTCTAAACTTAAAAGTACATTGGTATGGTTTAGATGTCCACATACTTTGAGGCAGATATGGTTTTGATATGGGTAAAACCCATTGAAACGTTTATTTTAAGAGTGCCGACATGAACAAACACACATTATTAATGTATACACAACAGTATTCAACACCTAAGATTGTTCAAATCGGCGTAGGTAGCAAGGGTTCAGACAGGTTTCAGAACGTACAGTAAGCAAGACTTTCCAATGCTCCCACGTTACATATTTGCAGGCCATAAAGGCAAAAATGGCAGAGCTGCGTCCGCTGATCCCCGTACTGGAGGAGTACAAAGCAGACGCGCGGCTGGTTCAGCAGTTTAAGGAGGAGGTGCAGAACTTGACGTCCAGCCTCGGTCTCCTCCAGCAGGAGATGGGAGCCTACGACTACGATGACCTGCACTCCCGTGTGGTTAGTCTAGAGGAGCGGCTACGCGCGTGCATGCAGAAGCTCGGTAAGACGCACACAGAGTCAACAAATACTTGTTTACTCCAAACAGGATACTGGATCAGCATTGTTTACTGGTCCTGGAATTCCAGGTACAGTACAAATTAAGCTCAATTCGTGGCACATGTTGATCACCACAAAAAATGATGACACTTTTAATGAAAGTGAATGGAGCCAATCTGCAAAAGTTAAAATACTCACTGTTTCAATATTACAGCCACATGATGTAAACTATATGCGTTTACATCATTTTTTTGTGTGTAAAGAACAATTTTACAACTTGTTGGCATGACAACAAACACAAATATTACGACATGAAATGCTTTTTTGACTCTCCGCACATAGAAAAAAATGAACATGAGAATAACAGAAAAAAGTATGAATAGAAATTACATAAATTAACATATTTCAGAAATTACAACACATTGTAAAAAAATAAAGTCTAAAAACTGTAACACGATCACTCAAACAGAATTTTAACAGAAGTGTTTTTATAAAGTTATAATCTTAGTGTAAATCCTCCAGAAATTGGCCCAATTCAATTCTATTGTAAGTGCGTCGCTGTAACCTCCATTTCTGCTTTTTTAAAAGCAAATTATTTAAAATTATTTTTGTGGCAATCAACACTATGCCATATGTTTGTACTAAAATAAAAAAAGAAATGGCTAGTAACAGTAGTAGTTCTAGTAGTTATAATTAGTTCTAATCTAGTAGTTATTTTTTTACAGGGCATATATTGACAATAATAAATCAGTAATCATGTACATTGTGTGAGAGGGTTGTGCATTTTTCTGCGGGTGCGTGTCTGTGGTGTCTGCAATATTAGAGAATCAGGGCTTTAGTCTAAAGATAGTAGCGTAATAATTTAGTTCTGTATCTCCCTCCAGACAACAGATTACAGCTCAGTGTGTTAATCTCAAGCATGTGTGTGTGTGTTGAATGGCACACACACACACGCACATCACGGTTATTACTCACGATCACCACAGGACGTCAAAAACATAATTTTTTATATTTATCTTACGATTGATCTGTATATTATATTCCGTCACACACATGAAAAACTGTATTCCTATATTATCAATGAAGACTTTTTCTCTCTATCTTCGCCATGAAAGCTCATAATGAAGCTCAGTTGTGAGAGCCAGAACTCTTGCTTGTTTGTAGGTGACCAAATACTTATTTTACCGAGGAATTTACCAATTAATTCTTTAAAAATCCTACAATGTGATTTTCTGGATTTTTTTTTCTCATTTTGTCTCTCATAGTTGAGGTATACCTATGATGAAAATTACAGGCCTCTCTCATCTTTTTAAGTGGGAGAACTTGCACAATTGGTGGCTGACTAAATACTTTTTTTCCCCACTGTATAAGATTACCACAGTAATTATGACTGAAACAGACTCATCATAACATTACAGCATTAAATCTCTAAACTCATTAAACTTGTGTGACAATAAGCTTCTCGTAAGAAAGTTTGTGTGTGTGTGCGCAATTATATATGTGTGTAGCTAAATATGTGTGTTGTGTGTCCTACAGCGTGTGGTAAGCTGACTGGCATTAGTGATGCAATCACTATTAAAACATCCGGGTCTCGGTTCGGATCCTGGATGACGGACCCTCTCGCTCCTGAAGGAGACACAAGGGTGAGTGTAAACGCACAAACATACATATTTCCAATTTTAGACATATATAAATGCAATAAGACATGCGATATCATTCAAAAGATGGGGTTAGTAAGATATGTTTTTAAAAGAAGTCTCTTTTGCTCACAAAAGGTGCATTTATTTGATCAAAAATAACAGTAATATTGTGAAATATTATTACAATTTAAAAGAACTGTTTTTATTTAAATACATTTTAAAATGCAGTTTATTTCTGATGCAAAGCTGATTTTTCAGCATCATTACTTCAGTCATCAGTGTCACATGATCCTTCAGAAATCATTTTAATATGCTGATTTACTACTTAAGAAACATTTCTTATAAATGTTGAAAACAGTTGTGCTGCTTAATATTTTTGTGGAAACCTTTTTTTAGGATTCTTTGATGAATAGAAAGCTCAAAAGAACAGCATTTATATAAAAAAGAAATCTTTTGTAACATTACAAATGTTTTGACTGACACTTTTGATCAATTTAATGTGTCCTTGCATTTTTGCATTTCTTAGTATTTGTGTATAATCTAGGGTTGGGCCGATAGACGATGCCATTGTCCATCGCCGATGGCTGATAGATCCCCCCCCCCCATTCCCCATTCCCCCCACATCCCAATACCGTGTTCGGAAAGAAAATGACGTGTAGGCGGAACCCCTGAAGGGAATAAATATGAGATGGGAGGAAAATATATATTTTAATATTTTTCCTCCCAGTTATATAATTATACTACATATTTTGGCATCAGGGAGCCGCTATTATATCTGGCATTGAAACAGGCATCGTGCTTTTGAATGCACGATCGCTTTTAGTTTCACTTTCACTTTTGAGATTCACGATCGCACTATGGTAGTACTTGCCACATATTTTATGTTTGTCAGTGGTACTGAGAATCTCCAAATCATTCACCATCGTCCTCAGTCATCTCTCCTTATTCAGTTTATGTGGTATGTGAAATTTTATGTACTGTAATGTAACAGGCAACCGTTACACCGTGTCTACACCGGACACAACAGTTGTCGTGTTGCGCCGCATCAGCTAAAGTCTGTCTACACTGGACAAGACAAAGCGAGCGTTGAAAATCATTTGAAATTTGTGTCAATTAGAACACGGCAGCAGTTTACTGCTGGGGATTTGTGGTGTCGCGCCGCATCCAGTGTAGACAGCATCACTGATTATAATGAGTTCTATAGACTGATCTATATATAATAAATCTCTATTATAGATAAGTGGTTCTATAGTATTTTGTCGCGCTGCTCGCGTCCGGTGTAGAAACGGTGTTAGGAATCCTGTTTTCCCTTATAAGGATTCATGCTTCGGGCACAACCCTCCCTCCATCATCGTCCATCGCGATGTTTCACTGTAGACATCGTCCGATGCCAATTTTGTAGACATCTCCCAACCCTAGTATAATGGTAACTTCCTTCTGTAAGACAAACAGGATTCATTTCAGAGATTCATTAACATGCAGATAGTGGAGGATATCTGGTTATTTTATGCCGGCAGTAAAAACCCACAAGCACATAGCTGCCGGCAACCACTTTATAACAATGTTGCTTTATAACCATAAAGAAAAAACAAACCTCATGGCTGAGCCGTCATACACAAATGCAAATATACATGCTTGAGGAAAACCCACGTCCTACTGTTTATTGACATTGTACACAGAGAAGAGTTAAAACACACAATGAAGTTCTTTGCCCTCATGCCATTTCAGCTAAAATCACATGATCACTGTGCAGTAGATTGGCTCATTCAGATGATTTGTCTTACTGTACAACAAAAAAATTCTTTTTTTGAGTTATGACTTATAAATGTTCCCAGGATTCAAAGCGCTGAATTTTATTCTTCTTTGATGCTTCTTATTCTTTACTTTTACACCGTTTTATCATTTCAACATTTACAAACAGTTTGTGAATCACTTGGAATAAAAGAATAAAAAAGAACTAGTTTGAAACAACCATTCGTTGCACACCTTTACATTGTTTATCACTACAACAACATTTATGAACAGTTTGTGAACAGTGTTGGGGTATCACATTACAAGTAACAGGAGTTGCATAATCAGATTACTTTTTTCAAGTAACGCATTACTTTTAAATTTACAAGAAAGTATCTGATATACTTTTTCAAATAAGTAATGCAAACTCCTTAAAACTTACTGAAATCTCTCCTGTCCAAATGTTGGAAGAAATTTGGAGTGAGGTGCAGAGGCCCTTCCTTCAGCCTGAGGTGTATTAATTTCACTTTTTGTGTCAAAGGGCCTTTACAGTTGCCAAAAATATAACTTTTGTGATTTTTGTTATTAAAATGTAATAAGCAAGTCCAGTTCAGGTGACAAAAAGTAACGCAAAAGTAACGTAATGCATTACTTTCCATAAAAAGTAACTAAGTATCACAATTAGTTACTTTTTGGAGAAATGCAATATTGTAATGCATTACTTTTAAAAGTAACTTTCCCCAACACAGTTTGTGAATCACTTGGAATGAAATTATTTTTTAAACACCAGCTTGTAATAACCATTTGTTTGCGAGTTTACTTTTACACTGTTTATCATTCAAACAACATTTATAAACAGTTTATGAATAACTTGGAAAAACAAACCAGTTCAAAACAAAAATTTGTTTGCGAGTTGGACATCCGTGGAGTTGAAGCCAGGTCACTAACTCTCACAGCGGAACGAGGGGAAAATAAGCAAGGCCAAATCATTTTCCACTCGTCCAGATGTGAAGTGCTCCAGCGGGGCTCGTAATGGGGGCCGCCGAGGGGCTTGTGATAACGGGTGGAGGTTAAGACACAGCAGACTGGGGAGGATGAATAAGGGCAGCTGGAAATGAGTGTGAGATGTTCCTGATGGCCTGTGTGTATAAGCCGATTCTTAGCCTAATCGTTTCTCAGACATTTGTGAGAGTGTGAAGAGGGTTTTGGTGATGTTGGATGGATGTTGTTGGATTTATCTGTCAGCTTGCACAAAATTGTGGTTAAAGATCTGGGCGGGTTACCAAACGTTATAGTATCGAACCAACATGGGTTGATCTATGAGCCATCAGCATTGCACCCGTGGCCAGGATTTTAACCTCAGTTTGCAAGCGACTGTTCCTGTAATAAATGTCCTGCACGCGGCTTTGCATTACAGTGTGGCTAAATGACAAATTGGCAATTAACAGTTGGCATCCCAGAGATTGTGAGAAGTTTCCCAGCAAGCAGCTTTCCAGTTCTCAACTGATGAGAACAAAACTTGAAGTGAATTGAGCTGAATAATGACACTATGAACTGAATCGATACTATATATATATATTGGTACACTGAAAAAAAAAAATGGTGGTGAAACTAATTGCTAGTCAATTTAACAAACAATTACAAAGAAATGGCAAAATTCTGATGTGTTACGTTGAATTAAACATGAAATTCTGAAGTTGATAGACTGAAATTGTATTTTCTTGTAAAATGAAGTCCAATAATCTTACAATAAAAAAAAAAAAATCAATGTTCACCAACCACCAATTTTAGTGTACAGCAGACTGGAAAATATAAAAGAACAACAAATACTCTAATACAAAAAAATAATAATA